AGGCGAAACAGAGTTTTGGCGGCCATGGAAGACAAAAATGCTTTCATTGAGTGTAGGAAGCAATTGATAAGCATGTTCATGGCATGAGAGACGGCTATCTCAGTGCAAACTACTACTAACTCATTGTCGTTGTTAATATTCTTCCATGTGAAATCCATGGTCTGAGTTTTGGCTTCGTTCATGTAAAGACTATCAGCAGCAAACCACATTATTATGTTTATATCATTATCTACAGTGTTATGTTATTATGGTGCACCTGTTTTACGTTGGTATTTAAAAATAAAAGCACTTTGACTTTTTCGTTATCTAGACGATTTCGTCTATCTGTCAATATTTGCCCTACCTTAGAAAATAGTCTTTCACAGGGAAAAGACGTTACGCATACACTAAGTCTCCCCTGTGCAACACAAGCAAGGTGCGGAAACAAATATTTATTTTCGTTCCACCATTTCCGTGCATCTTCATTACGAGGCAATAGTTCACAATCTAAAAACCATTGAACTTCTAATATAGCCTTAGTTGTAGAAGTTCCTACAGTGGCTGGTTGATATAGTTCAGCTTCTTTATCAAAATCCTCCCAAAAATCGTCTTCGTCGGAATTTTCATTTTTCTGATTTAATGCATTTGGAACACTCTTGTCAACACTGCAAGCCGATTCGGCCGAAAACGTTTCAACCACCAAGGAAATAACATTTTTTTGCTGTTTCAGCATTTTTTTGTCCTTAAACGGTATTTCTTTGAAACGCGGGTCGAGGAAAGTTGCTAATGAGAGTGTATTGCTGTTTTCAGAATTTCCTAGTATGTCGTTCAAATATTTTTTTAAATTATGAAGTACTCGTTTGATACATTCAGTATATTGCATGCCTTAAAATTTTTTAAAAGCTGAATTACACCATTCACAAGGGGAATTACGAGAGATACAGTTAAGTATTCTTCCCCAAAAATCTTTTTGGTAACACTCTCGAACGGTTTAAGCACTTGTGTTAGTTGCTTAATAATTACCCACTCCTCGACTGTCAAGTGATGTTTCAAATCCATATTAATTATTGACACAGTAGCTTTAACAGCTTCCTCCAAAATAATTAATCTTTCCAACATGTAGTACGTAGAATTCCACCGAGTGGATACGTCTTGCAGTAGTTTTAGAGGGGTTTGCTTTCCTTGATTCTGTTGGTATGATATTAATTTTGCCGTTGCTATGTGACTCCGTTTGAAAGGTCCTACAATATGTTTCACTCTTTTGATAACTGCGCTGATCTGATCTTCTTTCAATCCATCATTTACCACCAAATTAATCGTATGCGCAAAGCAACCGTGCTCTTTCCACCGTAATTCATTTATGGCAGCTTTTATATTTGCCGCATTGTCTGAAACTACTATCAAACGCTTATTTTGGATTTCCCATTTTGTAACAACTCTTCTTAGCTCTTCTGCTAGATTAGTTGCAAAGTGAAACATTCTAGTAAAAGTGAAACCATCTGGAAATTATCATTTAGGAAATGAGCGGTCACAGCCATAAAACTCTCCGTATTAATGGATGTCCAACAATCAGTTGTAATACAAACTTTTTTTGCCTTTTTTAAAACACGGTGCGTCTCGATAAGATCCTTTTCATACATAGCTGGTAACATGGTTCTGGAGATGGTATGTCTACTTGGAAGCTGATATGAAGGATTCAAAGCAAAAACAAAGTCTCTAAAAGCACGTTCTTCGACAATTATAAATGGTTGGTAGGTGTCGGTAAACAATCGTAGTAATTTATCATCAATTTTTTGTTTACATTTAGGAGTTACTCCTTTTGGAATATAAAGATACATATCTGTTTGAAAATGTTTAGTTTTCCGCACTGTTTCGATTTTTCTTAAACTCACAGAATTCAGTGGCATTTTATCAACACTAATCTCTTCTATCTCCGTTTCTCTTGGATCTCCCACTTGCTTGATTGGATGTCCTGAACTTGTTGATGCCCCTGACTAGATATTTGTCACAGGTGGGGCTTGCCTTGATAAAGTGACCTACAAGCATATTAAATTACACTATTTGTGTCTTCATTACTAAGATTTATATGTATAAGATGGATATAATATTATGTTTAAATTTTTGGTACATATAGTAGGAGAGCTGGTAGACATTTTGGCAACGTATTTGAGGCACTATGAAAACTTGTCTACTGTATCTTACGTAAAAAAGTAATAGGAACCATTTTTGTTTAGAACTACCGTACGGTCAACACTTTACGAGATAGTTCCCCATTACCTGGAGTACAAGTTAAATATTCTCGATCACCTGGCAGGTAAGACGTCTCACCAGAATGAACTTATTTTAAATATATTCTTTTTTAATCATAAATATTAGTTTATGAAAATCTCAAAATGCCTCAAATATGTTTTTTCGATTTTTTTTTTGGAAAAATACCTTTTATAACCCATGGGACGCCAATGGCCCATTGACCTTCAGCCAGTTCTGTACTTTTGTGTTAGGAAATAATAGAAGAAGCACAAGCAGTAGACAAGTTTTCATAGTGCCTCAAATACGTTACCAAAATGTCTACCAGCTCTTGGACTAATACGTTAAAATACTTACTTACCGAGGCACCTTCGGGATTTAATGACACAGCTGGGTGTTCTGACTCCATATGTCTTCTCAAATTCGTGGTACTAGTCTTAATGATATTTTGGCTGCACACATATTACATCTTGCGAAATTTTCGTCGATTTCGGAAAAAAAAATCCACAAATAACTTATTTTCCTCTTTTTAAACATTGTTGAAACTGAATAAAATAATACTGGCTAGTCAAACAAAAAAACAACCTAGAGATTGAAAATAGAAACCACCAATACCAATCCTAACAATTCGCATTCGCAGCTCGCAACAGTCACAACTCAACCATATAAAAGCAACGCCATCCGTTCGTTTTTAACCGCCAATCGCCACTCGCATGTGTCACTCCCAAAGCGATTACCGCGATTGTACGGTTGGTTGCATGCTTAGCAGCTCACGCGAACCCATCAGCTCGCAACTCGCAGTTTGCTACGGAACGGGGTCGCAGGTTGCGATTGCGATTGTATAATCGTTGCGAGTTTTTGCTCATCTCTAATATCTTCTGTTTGAACAGTTGATAAAACCTTTTTAACCAATATGCATGCGTTGTTTGTCTTAAAACATTGGTTATGGCATTTTAACAAAAATATGACAGCAGAAAGTTAGGTTATGGTGAAGTTGTATACCAACATATTTAGCATATGTACAGCCTTTAACAGTTACTAAACAACAGTTGTATAAGTGCTTCCGTTGGGAGCAATTTGTTGGCTAAAGTAGTAAATTTGCACATCAAAACAACAAGGCTCGGGTTTGTTTTATAAACGTTACCATGGATGCCACAACACAACCATTTTGACTAACCTGCAAATATGCCGTATAAAATAGTTGTATAAACGTTTATGCAACAGTTAAAAATTTGTCCTATAAGGTGTTGTGTAACTATGCTATAAGACAATTTTAAACACCTCATTTTAGAACAAATATGTTGCAGAAAGCAAATTTGCATTCCACACAACATTAAGCCAGCATTTTGGTGTTCAGGCAACAACAATAGAGAGCTTTTATGGCTGAACTGTTCTTTTACCAAAAGCTTATAGCACTACTTTGCTAGTTGGGTAGCAAATCTGAAGAAAACTATTATTCGTCAAAATGCCCGAAGACCAAAAACTTTTTCACATTTCTGGCATCAGTATAGCTTACTCTATGACACCCTATTAGCCGTTGTCCCAAAGCAAGGCTGGAACCCCGGTTTTTGGGCCTCTTTGTTTATACACAGCATATTTGAAAAAAGAACTATTTTTCGTCAAAATTTCCGAGACCAAAAGGTTTTTTACATTTCTGGCATCAGTATAACCTACTCTATCACACCCTACCAGCCGTTTTCTTAAAGCAAGTCCGGAACCCGCCGTTTTCGACGCGTCTTTGTGTATACATAGCAAATTTGAAAAAAAAATTATTATTCATAAAAATGACCGAAGACCAAAAAGTTTTTCTTATATCTGGCATTAATATAACCTACACTATTACACCCCCATCAGCCGTGTTCCCAAAGCAAGTCCGGAACTCCCCGTTTCTCACCCCCCTTTTATTCATACATAGCTAATTTAAAAATCTATTATTCGTCAAAATGACAGAAGACCAAAAAGTTTTTTTATTTCTGGCAGCAATATGACCTACTCTATCACACACTTCCAGCCAGTTTTCGAAAGCAAGTCCGGAACCGCCGTTTTTGATCCTTCTTTGTTTATACACAGCAAGTTTGAAAAATTTATTATTCGTCAAAATGGCTAGAGACCAAAAAGTTTTTTACATTTCTGGCATCAGTATAACCTACTCTATGTCACCCTACCAGCTGTTTTCCAGAAGCAAGTCCGGAACCCCACGTTTTTTACCCCCTTCTGTTTGTACATAGCAAATTTGAAAAATCTATTATCCATAAAAATAACCGAAGACCAAAAACTTTTTGGCATACCTGGCATTAATATAACCTACTGTATCACACACTTCCAGCCATTTTTCGAAAGCAAGTCCGGAAGCCCCCGTTTTTGCCCCCATTTTGTTTATACATAACAAATTTAAAAAATCTATCATTCGTCAAAATGACCCGAGACCAAAAAGTTTTTTACATTTCTGGCATCAGTATAACCTACTCTATGTCACCATACCAGCTGTTTTCCAGAAGCAAGTCCGGAACCCCCCGTTTTTGGCCCCCCTTTTGTTTGTACATAGCAAATTTGAAAAATCTATTATCCATAAAAATAACCGAAGACCAAAAAGTTGTTTGTACATAATTATAGATTCGGATATTTTTTTAACATGCTTAAAAAGCCCTGCGTATCTGTGATCTGTAGTAAATTTCATCTCTTTACTAGATAGGTATATGTTTTGTTACGTTCGTTAAGGGTAAAAAACAAGTTTCGTTTTTATCAAACTTTATTAATAAAAAACGAAAAGAACAGTACAACTATAGTAATAACAAATACCTAAGCAAAACAATATATGAGGCGTGTCGCAGCAAAAGGGCCTATATCCATTTTTGGTAAAAAGTGAGTAAAAGGCGGTTATGATATCTGTATCGATAGCCGCATCAACTGGTCAAGTATTCATATGTCAAAGGTGTCTTTATCCCATATAAAACTACGATGAAATATAGGGTGTCGCGGCAAAAGGTTCTATATTTACGATCATCAACGCGTCAAACAGGCCTATATCCAACAAGCCAATCAAACCACTAGAATTCTGTCATGCGGCTTCGAGTTTCATCAAGGCCGTGGGTTTTACGTTTATTAGAGTTTAGCATCGAAAGGAGATTGTTGTTTGTATTGTAAAGTATAGGATTGTAATAAAACTTCTTTAGTTTGTTGACTATGAACGAGAGTAGTACCCCATCGGATCCGGGAAAAGCTAGGCGGAGTACTGGAGATCCTATTAAATGGAAAAGGAACGTTGCAAAATCTAAAAGGTAGGTACCTTATCCTTATCATGACAGATATAGCGAATCAGCAAGTAAAAAAGTTGTATATTTAATTTTTTTTTCGTTTTCACTATTTAATGTCGAGTGCCATTGCCTTGATACCCGGTAGGCCTTTTGGTCTCCAGACCACGCCTAACAATATTGCATACTTTCTATTGCGAGCTATCAAGTTAATTTTTTGTAGATATGATCCTCCAGGACCACCAGAATATCTTTGTTGTGGCCACCTTAACAAGTCCTTCAAGTGCAGAAAGTTAACAATGAGAGACATCAAAGAATTCCATGAGAATTTTTACTCTACGCGCGCAAAGAGCTCCCAAGATGCGTTTATCATTAAACATGTGAAGGTAACAAGTGCAAAAAGACCACGTCCAAAAAAGAAACTTACCTCTACGAAGAAGGTTAGTACAAATTACTACATTAGAGTGTCCGGTACAGAAAAGTTTTGTATACGTGTTCGTCAACGTCCTTCAAGTATCACGTAAGAGAATTCAGAATTTAGCTAGGAAATTTCTGAACACGGGAAGAATGCCGGTTGACAAGAGAGGTGGGGCGAGGCCAAATCCTCTTTATGACAAGAAAAAGGCCGCTATTAAAACATTCATAGAAAAATTAAAATGTTGTGAAAGCCACTATTCTCGAGGTAAGTCCGTGCATCGACGATACTTGCCAGGAAACTTAAGTATAAACAAATTATGTCGCATGTACAACAATGAACAGAGGGATGAATCACTGAAATCGAAGATAACGTTTTTCCAAAAAATTTTTACCACGCAGTACAACATTGGGTTTGAAACGCCTATCACCGATGCCTGCTCTCTGTGTTTCGAACTAAAATCTAAAATAAAAAATGAGGCCAGTCCGCAGAATAAAAGTAAAATAATGAGTGAACTTACATTTCACAGAATGCGATACAAAGTGTTTTTCAGAAAACTTCAAGAAAAAAGAGAAGATCTCTTAACACTGAGTTTTGACTGCCAGAAGAATCTGTTTCTACCTAAGGTTCAGGATCAGGCCGCCTACTATAGCAGGCAAATGTATATATATATACAATTTCTCAATCGTAAAAGGAAGCTCAAAAGAATCTTTAACTCCGGAAAATGTATATTGTTATACATGGATGGAACATGAACATAGAAAGGGTGCTAATGAAATTGCCTCAGCGGTTTTCCATCAATTGTCACTCCTTGACTTGACATCTTACTCAGTCATTAGATTATGCGCCGATGGATGCGGTGGGCAAAACCGCAACTCAGTTATGATTGGAATGCTGAGCTACTTCTTAGCACGAGTCGCACCTCCAAACATTCAGGAAATACACATGATTTTCCCTATCACTGGACACTCGTTTTTGCCAGCAGATCGTGTGTTTGCTTCCATAGAGAAAAAACTGCGTAAGTTACCAGTAATAATACAACCATCAGAATATGAAACAGTTTTTTCAGAGCATTCCACACTTTTTAAGCTTGGCACTTACTATAAAAAAACTACATCGTGGCACTTTAAGTTTAACGAAGCAAAGAGCTTCATCCTCACTAGATCCAAACAACAAAATATATTGGTTAGGGTTGAAGTATCTTACAGCAGTGATTTAACTAATGGCAAATTGGTTGTTAAAAATGGTGTCAAAATAAAATCAATCCCATTGCCTGATGATATACCAATGGGAGTTGCATTGAAAGCAGCTGAGGTCCAAGATATTAAAAACCTTTTGAAAAAGCACTTCGGCGAGACCTGGGACACCATGGAAGAATGCTCCTTCTACAAAAATGTGTTGGGAATCACGGCCGATGTGACAGCTAGCGATACAGCAGCAACAAACGAAACTGATGAATATCTCGAAGAAGAAGTTAATGAGTTCTGTGAAGGACATCAACATGAACATCTCGTTGAGCGGGTGTAATACTTATTATATTTTCTCAAAATGCATTGAGTTGATCTTAAAGAATCTTAGTTTTGATTTCTTGTAGACATATGTATTTTTTTTTAAGGGAAATAAATGTTTGCCTGTTTATTCCATCTATGTGCCGGATCTACCACCATGTAATAAGCTCATTCCTAAAATAAATTCTAAGTTGAAAATTGTCTCAACAATATATATTATGGGGATTATTCCAGGAATAAGTTTATAGCGCGGCGGTAGAATTGTCCATAAGTGTATTATTGCGTCAAAACAGCCTATATCCTTATACAGCTGGAGCAAAAGTTCGTTTATCCATTTTGTTACGGCAAATGGTTCTATATCCAAACTCTATAGCCAAATTACATCCGCTTTACTCACTCCACGATTATTTTTGTTGCTTGTATTTGTTTTATAACCCAATAGGAACGGTTCAAAACAAAATTATAGCCGTTACAACTTTTAACTTAGAACAGTTTTTCGCCAATTGTGGAAAATTAGTGGAAGGGGATATAGGCCCTTTTGCAGTGAGACGCCTCATATAGATTACATATATTCATGCAGAGACTAGAATTTTTTTATGTTTTGCTATTGGTATTTGTCAATCAAAACAAATATAAAAATAATTTATGCCACAGAGTATCCCAACAGGTTTGAAACATTTTTATAAAAATATATTCTTTTAAGTTACAAAAGCTACTAAGTTGTTCTTGCTGTTCTGGACAATGCACAAGCTTTTCAGTGGAATGTCGCGAGGGTACTTTAGCCTTTCTTGTATTCAGATAGACAAAATCATGCAACTGTCTCAAAAGGGTGTTTCTAGAATATGTGATGAATTTATTGGACCCACATTGAAAAAAAAACATGTAACAGTACATACACCTTTTGCATTATTTTTTGCGTTCCACATCAATCTGTCAAACTGAACACATTTTATGAAATCCTGTAAAGTTCATTTGGATCCACTATATTAAGAAGCTTGTGCTAAGTTCTCTGTATACACAATGAATCTATATTAAAATAAATAAAACTTAAATTATGAAAACGGCCTTTAAAGCAATCTGACGGCATATTATATACCTAGCTCTCTTCTGGTTGCTGCAAAAATGATGTATATCCCTTTCGGCCCTGCTGGTGGCAATTGCCACTGCTAAATTTACAGGTATTTGCACTCGGCTGCAAGCAGCGTTTGACAGTTTTACTGTTAGATGTCGCCTCAATGCACTATTATAAACGAGTTTCGAGCAAAAATTGCTTACACGTGGTATTTCATTTGTTTGTATTGACGATTATTGATTATTGTGCAAGCATGGATTTCCTCAAAAACGTGTTCGCTAAGTTTAAATATTTAGTGAAATACGTGTTTATAATTCCTTTTTTACATCAGACATACTTTATTTGTGTAGATTGTTGATATATGTACCAAAAACTGGTTCCTATACGCAAAAAAGAACTTGAAACTGATATTTAAAATTTGCGTACGCAAATGCCACCATTAGGTATTCGCGACATTTTTTATGTTTTTGTTTATTTTTTTTTCAGACGATGATGGTATACCTCCCATGATTTTTTATGGGGGGATAAAAACTGTTGCAAAAAAAGTGACACTAAGAAATGCTCAAGCTGCTTTGTCAGGGCTACCTGATTCAGATATCGAAGAGGATTTCGATAATGAAGTTGGGAATATGGAGGATCGAAACAATGAGGATGAAGAAGATGAAGAATTTGAAGTACAACCAGGTTCAGATCAAGATTCAGAAGGCGAGGAGGACAATATTCCGTTGTCTATTATGAAACAGAGGCTCATGTCAAAAAAAGGAAAGCATGCCAAAACAAAAATAACATGGACAAAGGCAGAGTTTCATCCACCAGATATTCAGTTTTCACCTCCCACTCCCTTACCCCCTCAACCCGACATTAGCAATAGCCCATTGGAATATTTCTCGAAGTATTTTCAAGATGATATATTTTCGGAACTAACAGAAAAAACAAACATGTATTCGTTACAGAAACACGGGAAAAACATAAATGCAAATGTTCAGGAAATAAGAAAACTTGTAGCTCTGCATATTATGATGGGTATTATTCGATTTCCAAGGTTGAGGATGTATTGGACACCGGCTACAAGAATACAGTTTTTTGATGAAATTGGGATGTCAAGAAATAGATTCGAATCGCTTAGAAACAATTTGCACATTGTTGACATCAACAAGCAAAATCCTAATGATAGACTTTGGAAAGTGCGTCCAATTGTCAGCTCATTTCAAAGGAGATGCGAAGAGTTGGAGATAGAACAAAATGTATGTATAGACGAGTCTATAATACCATTCAAAGGCCAACTGTCTATAAAACAACATATGAAGGGAAAACCCAATCCATGGGGGGTGAAAGTTTTTATGTTATGTGGTGCTTCTGGCATTATATACCGCTCTATCATATATCAGGGCTCTACTACACTTCCTGTTGATTTGCAAGATGCATATTCAGCTGCTAATGCACTTGTTATACACCTCTCCAACAGAATTCCTGAACACAAAGGACACAAGCTGTTTTGTGACAATTATTTCACATCGTTGTTGCTCCTAGAAGAATTATTAGAAAAAGGCATTTTTGTTGCCGGAACTATTCGTGCAAACAGAATGGAAAAATGTCCACTCAAATCCGAAAATCAACTCAAAAAGTTAGGGCGTGGAAATTGTGACTCGTCGGTTTCACTTGATAATAAAATTATAATAGTGCGTTGGTACGATAACAAAATGGTCAATTTGGCTTCAAATTTTGTAGGTATTGAACCAGAAGATGAAGTGAAGAGGTGGGATAAGAAGCAAAAAGCTTACACAATGGTAAAACGTCCAGCAATTATACGTATGTATAACTTCTCCATGGGCGGTGTGGATAAAAATGACTTCCTTATTGCTCTATACCGCACATTTATAAGGTCAAGAAAATGGACGTTACGAATCATTTTTCATTACTTCAATTTAGCAGTCTGTAATTCATGGCTTGAATACCAGGAAGAGATGGACCACAGAGGTGTGATGAAAAAATCAAGAATGGACCTCTTGCAGTTCACTTTGTCCATAGCTAAGGGTTTGGCATTTTCTGGTTATTCGATAGCGGCACCAAAACGGGGTAGACCATCCACCAGCAACAGCAGTAGTCTCCGAAACTCTCCTGTACCAATCAAACAGCACAAATCGCAGCATGTTGTTCCAGTTGAAGATGTTAGGTATGACCATATTTGCCATTGGCCTATACATATAAAGGGTCACGAACAACGGTGCAAGCTGGAAACTTGTGGGGGGCGATCCCGAATTTTATGTGAAAAATGTCGAGTTCCTCTTTGCCTTTCCAAGTTTAGAAACTGTTTTAAAATTTTTCACAACAAATAATGTTTGACATAAAATAGAAATAATAAATTTATGATTTGTGTTCTTTTTGTCAACGACACCTGATGGTGGCATTTGCCACGACTTCCTAGGCGGTTTACCTGTGGTGGAAAACACTTCTAACTTGTTGGTAAGGTTGACAAGATGTTACTAGGCAATAATTACAGCAAAAAATTTTTTTTTTTTTTAATTTCAAAAATTCAGGGCTGAAAGGGATATGGAGTATCTGCTAGTAAATGATATGCAACTATGTTTTTTGCGTGATAAAAAACTGTTTGAAATAACAAAGGCTATGGTAGAGTTGGAATATATCATTTAATGCGAAGGATCTCATGATTCTCTTGTTCCAGACCAAAGAACCTGGTGATATGAAAAAAATTTGTCTATGGATTTTGTATTGGAATTTTGAGCAACATTAACGACGGATACGGTAAGGTTGAAAAATATCCATTGTTGCTAAGCCTTCTGTCTTTTTCAAATAGTGCAGGAGAGCCTAGTATAAAATATGACTCAACAACAACGATAAGTAACATAAAAAATAAACATGAATGTTGCAACAACAACGATAAGTAACATAAAAAATAAACATGAATGTTGCAACAACAACGATAAGTAACAAAAAATAAACATGAACGTTGCAACAACAACGATAAGTAACATAAAAAATAAACATGAATGTTGTGGCACAGGAAAAAGGCTGGCTTGAACTGAAATGAAATTTTTGCAGAGCACCAATTGAACCAGTCTTAAAGACCTTGGGGTTATAATACAATAAGAGTTTGTCTGTGTATCTCGGGAATACATTTTGGGGGCGAATCAGTAGGTGTTCTTCACTAAGGCTTGAGATTTGGGACAGACAGAAGAGTTGTTAAGCATTCTGTTTAGATCTATATACAATAATTTCTTAATTTCAAGGCTTTCTTATTTTACTACTTTATACGAGAAACAATAAACGTATGGACCTACTCAATACGGTAAGAAATCAATAGGATAACCGAAATTTCTGATTTTGACAAACAGGTTATCGATTGTAAGGGATCAGGATGGAAAAGCGGGATTTTCGGATCTGGAAATAACTTAAGTTGGTCGCAACTATGAAATGTTTGCATTCAAACATCTTATAAGATATGTATTTTTAACTTTCATCAACATTTTTCTTTTTGAAGGGCAAATTAAAACTAATGTAAGAATAATAATAGGAAATACGAATTTCAAAGGTAAAAAAATATTGACACAAAAAAAACAAGTAAATAAGTGTTACAAAATTTTTGTACAGTTACTTTATCATACCATTAGCATCAATTATAGTCTGAAGCCATCATGGCATGGAAATTCTGAGTTATTCTGGTCCAATTTGGTTCCATTCCTGCATATAACATCTTGTAGCTGTCGTTTGACAGAAATTTTACTTTTTCAAGCGTTCAGGTCCAGCAAGTAGTACAAATGTTCAATGGGATTAGTATCTGGGGATTTTAAGTTGGGCAGGAATATTGTGAAGTAACCATTCCTTTGTTTGTGTTTAAGATCATTATCCTGTTGAATCAAAGATCAATGTTTCCCTGATCCCGATTTTCCAGTGCTGTTATTATGCAAAATAATAGACTTGTCTGCATTCATAGTACTTTCGATGAACTTAGGTTTCCAACACCATTCCACAGCATACAGACCCAGACTAAAACGCTGTTCCACCATGCTGCACTGTTGGACCGACATGCCTCATTTCAAATTAAGTATTTAAGTTTTCTTCAAACATATTTGTGACCATAAGCTCCGAAACCTCAAAGATTAAAGTAAGATCAAGATGTAAGGTCTGATGGCGGCAAAAATGCATGGAGAAAACCTAACACTCAATTTGAAAATAAGACATATCAGCCCAACAGTGGAAATTGATGACGGGAGCGTTTTAGTTAGTCTGGGGCTAAATGACGTGGAATGGTGTTGGATATCTAAGCTTCATCAAGGCATTATGAATGCAGACAAGTATGCCAACTTTTGCCCCAAAACATGCACACCAGCGCTGAGAAAATTGGGGATCAAGGAAACATTTATGTTTCAACACACTGTTACTAAAACAAAGGAATAGATACTTTACATTGTTTTTGCACAATCCTCCAATCCCGAATATCAATCCCATTAAACATTTTCGGTTCTTGCTGGACCTGAAGGCCCGAACAAATAAAATTTCTGCGGAACTACAGCTACAAGATGTTCTGCGGAAATGGGACCAGATTAGATCAGAATTAGCTCAAAAATTATATGCCAGGAAGTCTTCAGGTCGTAAATGATGCAAATCCTATGATGACAAAGTACTAGCTGTGAATAAATTTTGTTAAAACTTATTGTCTATCTTTGAGTGCTTTGTATTCCATAATTCCTATTATTATTCTATTGTTTCTAATTTGCTTGAACTATTGCCATCAAAAATTACTGTTTGGAAGTTAGCCTTCAAATAAATGTAGTGACAAAAAAATACCTTTTCGTTATTGAGATTGAAGAAAAAATGGAGTATGCTGTATGTTCTAAAAACTCGAAAATCTCATAGATGCAATCAATTTTAATTCAGTCATTTTCAGGGTCGAAAACCCACCCTTGTCCTTTGAAGCTTGATATGGGATAAGGAAAATAATGAAATAAGGGAGCCTTGAAGTAGATGATTATGCGAGGTAACAAGGAGACCTCAGATTAAAAAAATTGCCTACTTCATTGAGAAAGATCTGAAAGATATGTCAAGAATGACTATGCCTTTGGTTTTTAGACAATATGAATACAATCTTGAAATCATAGGACTGGTCGAAAAATCTATTGAGAACATTTTAAGACAACTACATGCATGTATTTTCCAAAAGTGATGTACCCCAACAATTCTTAAATCATATAAAGAAAGCTTCTTGTCAAAACATATCTGACATGCATAAGGTATCATTTTGTTCTTAAAATTGATATTCTATATCCACTATTATATAGAATTCTGACAAAAATATTTACAAGCTACAAAAACGTCAGAGGATAGATTCAATACAAATATATCAATCTACCCACTGTGTATTATGAAGCAGCATAAATAACTTCCTGTAAATATATTTGCCCTTTCCAGTTGCTTGGCGCGAAAACGCTATTTGTATGATGTGACAAGAAGCAAACTCTAACCTCATTTACGCCGCGAAAATAGACAATAGAGCTCGATATTCAAATTTCCTAAATAGAAAAATTACGTGTATAGGCACTTCAAAGGAACGTGGTATATGATAAAATTACTAGAAAAATACTGCGTCTTATCCAGGAATGTTGTATATATGTTGTTTAGTAATTCTAGTATCACATTTCTTTATCAGACTATACCACATTAGGTTCTGCAGCATCTTGACGAACGTAGAAGAACCCAGCTACACTCGATCTTATTCCAGGAGCGTCTTTCAACGGCCTAGTACTGATGCGAGTCATAACGTCATCATTGAACTCGATCCAGTCGTCTCTAAAGCAAGTGAAAAACGACGTTAAGTTGATTGCCTCGGTACTTCCCTATTTTTTTAAACACTGGACAAAAATTCAAGAAGTGATTCTTAAGACTACTCTAAGGGCCGAATCGTCCATCGTTACTACAATATTGTAGGACGCCTTTATGGCCTCCTTGACTTTCGTAGTTTTTCCTGTCCTTCGGAAACGCAGGGTATTTCCAGATTTCTACTGTTTTTTGTCAGCCCTTTATTTCAGGTTAAATTTTTATTTTTGAATCCTAAGAAATTTCAGGCTGACAACTTCATCATCTGTTTTATAAATCTGAAATTTCTTAAGATTCAAGAAGAAAACATACCTTCGCAATAGCCGACATGGAACAGTAGAATTCTGAAAAACAGAAAAGACTATGACCATCAAGGAGACCATAAAGGCATCCTACAATTGTAGAAACGACTGAAGATAGGGCCCTAAGACTGCTCTGTCCGTTGACGATTTCGGAGATACATGACCCTGAACGACGCCAATGGAAATCGGCCTATCTTATGGCCAAGTTCGCAGGGAACAGGGTCGATAAAATCCATACCTTAAAATATTCCTTAAATAACTTGAACAACACCATGTTTCAGAACCATTTGTCAAAGCACAGCGTTGCCAGATGGGTCCGACAGAATTTCCCCAGAACAAGCACAAAAATCCCCCAGACTTACAACTTTTTCAAAAGTAAAAAAAGGATAGGTTTGGTTCAAAGAGCGGGGAATTCTTTCTAACTTAATTTTTAAGAACAATACTTTATAGTAGAACAGAGTAAAGGAGGGTTGTCTGGCAAAGGCCACCCTGCTGTAATCTAGCTGTACTATAAAGGTCACAGAGAAGGCTCCAACATCACATTTAATGTCAGAAATTCAACGTAATTTTAGGAGCTGTGGTAGTACCACATGCTGTGGTTTTTTTGATCTTACCTTATATCGTCAAGTAAAACAGTGGCAATGTAATGGCCTTGAGATAGAGTTCCGCTATGCTGGACTACAGCGTAGAGTTTATACACCGAGCTTCCAAATTGTAGCTTGTCCGGAAAACTGACAAGGCCAGGATGCTTCATTACTTCATCTTTAGAAATTAGGATTCTGTAACAATATCTGTATTTTAGTGAAGGCATTTTGTGATATAAATTGTAAGGATCGACTAATTGCACAGTGTATCAATTGAAATGCTATATTTTGTCACTTGCATAGACTACATCATAGCTTGAAATATTGATTTTTGGACACTATTTTTTCATTAAAATATTCGCCTAGAGACAGCTCTGAGCTATGTAATCTGATGAGTGATGATTATTCTGTGAGATATAATTATTTTGTTCTGTTCTGTCAATTAAATATCCGAAACCCTTGACAACTTAGCAAGTACGCAAAAGGGGCTCCTACAAAAGATTCGAAAGACAAAAGAGGAATTTATTGGCGACTTCTAGATTGACCTAGATAATGACCTTAGATGTTATTTAGAGGTCAGGTCAACTTAGCAAATTCAAATAGCAGCCACCAAACATCTTAAAACTGTATAAACAGTGTGGAAACTTGGCACCACGCATTTGCCGAAAAAAGGCTCCTATAAGAGATTTAGAAGATCAAATAACCTCTAGTATGAGCTAGACAATGACCTCGGAGGTCATTTGGAGGTCGGCTTCGTAAATTTAAGCAATCACCACTAGTTCTGACAACAGATTCGTGATCAGCTCAAGTGGACAAATCAGCAGTTCAATCCGCCAACAAATATTGCAGCTATTTGAATTCAGAAACTTGGCTTCCAAATTGCTTTTGAGGTATAAGTCACATCCCTTTTTTTGACTTCCTGAAGCTTTAGCATAGACCCTTTAAAAAATGCGCTTTAGACTAGTTTCCGGTGCATTTGTGATCTTTTCAGGCCTGCCGAATTGACCACTTTTAATTGCGTGACGAATATGAACACCAAAAATGCGATGATAATCCAAGTTTACGAGGTTGGCCGCTAAATGACATCTGAGGTCATATTAAAGGTCAAAATAATATATTTTTGGTCTCCTGAAACTGTTGCGAAAATATTTTTTCGAAAAAAAAATGTGTGGCACTACAGCGTTTGTGTACTTTGCAGTTACAGCTTGGCATAACGGTTTCTTTCTTGACACCGACGGAGCCGCGCAGGCAGAAGCCTAAATGGCAGGGCAATCCGGGTACTATGATGATCCCAAGGAAACTTTGTTAATCCGATTTTTGAGCTGCCTAAGGTTAGTAGAACTGGGAAAAACCTCCTCTTGTAGATTGCTCCACAATTTCGACATCCTGGGATGGGAGGCGGAAGTCAGGCAGGTCTGTTTGGCATGCATCAAGGAGGAGAGCAAAGACAGTTGGTGTAGCGGTAGAAGAGAGCTAGATCGCCGTCGGCCCGGCGGTGCCAAAGGGATCCTGAGACTGTCTGCTAAAGATCAGTAATTGATCAGCCGGACGGCCCTCCTCTGGATAACATCGAGCATGGATAATGTCCGGGCGGCAGCACTTCAATCGTGTGAGCAGTACTCGAGGCTAGGTCTTACCTGGGCCTTGTATAGAGTGAGGAGGTCATCCGGAGAAAAGAACCTTTTAGAGCTGGCTTTTTCCCAGCAGCTGCCACTATTGACGAGATGTGTTCGTGCTAGATCATGTCCTCGAAGATCTGGACGCGGACCAGAAATGAACGGTTCTTTGGCAGAACTCGGCCATCCATCGAAACCGGATGAACGCTAGCACGCTTTTTGTTCGTCAAGGTACAGTACTGTGTTTTGGAAGCATCAAACTGTATAAGATTGTTGCGTCCCAAAACAGTGATAACCTCCAGGTCTATGGTCAGAGAGGAAATCGCAGCTAGTCTTTTTTCCAGCAAGGGTGGTTGCTACTTGAATTTGAGAAGTTAACCTCCTATTATTTAGGTCATATTAGAGGTCACTGATATAATCCTTTTTTAATCTCATAAAACTTTTGCTAGACTCTTTTTTCGAAATAATGCATGGTTCTCAATTTTTTGGGATGTTCATATATTCAATAGGAGGAACTAAAGATAAGACGACTGCACACTTTTAAAAATCCGCAGTATAATCCTTACCTTTTCAGACATATAATCAACGTCTCTGGGTCTACGACGACAGATCTCTTGTTCACGACTGCACCAATGTTCTTGCATATCTCGCACTGATAGTCTTTTTCAGTGGTTTCGGCCAGATAATACTTGATCAAATCTTCTAATTCACAGGGTTCTAAGTTCTGCCGCATGGCAAGATTTAGGATACCCTCTGTTTCGAATGAACAAATCTTCTTTTTGCAATGAGTGCAAATTTTCTCATCCCTAAGTTGATAGTACGTTCTATCCACCAAAAAGCTCGATCGCCCTTGTAGAGCGCTATACCAAGCTTGTTCACTATCCGTCATAACCTAAATGAAAAGTATCGTTATTTCATCGAAGAATTAAAAACCTGTGGTTTCAATGTTACTAAGCTTCTTCAAATGACATCCACATATGAAGGTTGATCCATGTGTTCTGGCTATCCTCATTACAAATGATCTCAGTACTCCATTTTAACAAAACACTAAGTTCATTTGTTAAACTGGTCTGAAATGATGTGCTTTTTGATTCATGTGGGACAAGAATTTTGAGAGAAATCCTCTTGAGCAGAGAAGCAGAATTATCTGCAGAAAAAATGGCGTCACGTAGGTTAACTCAAAAAAAACTTAGTTACAAACATGTATAATTGAAAAACTAAGCCGATCAGGTCAGACAAACAGACACCGCAGTACGAGCAGAATAATCAAGCAGACCGTCACGTCGAGCGCTGAGCCCAGATCGCAGAAGGAGTCTCGTTTAGAAAATATTTCTCTTTCAAGACAACCCATGATATGCGGTAGGTGCTTAGGGTTACCGGGGTTGGGAGCTTATACGAGGCTTGTTCAATAAGTACCCGTGTTTGACGGCAGAGGGCGTCCCTGAAGAAAGTTATCATCGTGTACTGCCATCTATCAAACGACGGCACAACAAATTTCAGACTGATTGATAGGTTGGTTTGGATTTGGCGGCCATTCGAGTAACACGTGTTTCGTGATTTTCGCCAAGATGGAAAAAGCAGTATCGTGCGGTAATTTGCTTTTTGTTGTTGGATGGGAAAAAATGAGATAAAATCAAAGATGGATGCTGTTTATGGGGACACTTTGTCATCTATGACCACAGTTAGATATTGGTTTAACGAATTTAAACATGGGCGAACATCCGTTTTTGATGAGGAGCGACCAGGACGCCCGGCAGACGTGCTTACCGAGGAAATCACTCAAAATGTCCACGACATGATCTAATCGACGAACGAAAAGGCCCGAAGTACCAGATGCCGTAGGTGTGTCGACTGGAACGGCAATAAATATAAGTTGGAGATGAAAAAATTGTCGGCCGCGATTGCTCACGGTGGACAGCAACGGATGCGGGTGTTACCTTTGAAGCAGTGTTTGGAGCAATTTAAGCGAAAACCGAAGGAGTTTTTGCGTCGAGTTGTCACCGTTCATGAAACCTGGATTCGTCATTACACACCAGAAGCTAAGCAACAATCAAAACAATGGATTTCTCCCGGTGAATCTGCTCCAAAGACGGCGAAGACGGTCCCAACGGCCGAAAAGGTCATGGCAAAGATTTTTTGGGATGCAAACGGCGTCATCCTCATGTATTTATTTTTTTTGTATCAGGAAGAACGATCACTACAGTAAGTTATTGGATCGCTTCGGCGAAAAACGGCCGCATTTAGCGAAAAATAAGGTGCTGATTCTCTACGATAACGCAACAAGTCATTCATCCGAAGTTGTCGTCGCCAAAATGCAAGAATTGCGTTATGAAGAGCTGTCGCAATCCCCGTATTCACCCCATCTGGCCCCCTGCGACTTTTTCTTATTCCCTAACGTGAAGAAATGGCTCGCGGGAAAGAAAGTTAGCTCAAACGAGGAAGTAATCGCCGAGACAGAGGCGTATTTTGGAGAGTTCGACAAATCCTATTTTTTGGAGGAGTTGAAAAATGGCAGGGACATTGAGAAAAGTGTATCTTTCTAAAAGGGGACTATAAAAATAAAAATAAAAAATACTAGAAAAAATGGTGTTCATTTATAACACGGGTACTTATTGAACCGCCCTCATAAATATATTTGTCCTAACATCAAAAAGTGATATATACCCTCCTCCACCCTGTCTACAACCCCCCCCCACCTATTTTTTTTTCACTTCAGATTTCAGATTATTTCCAAAATTAGTTGAAACGAGGAATTTTTTCGGTGAACAGCAAAATCTTGCCGGAGAAAGATCGCGCCTTGCTTGAGCTCCACGTGTTTTTGGAAATGGAAGAGAGTCCCCTTCATCATCATCAAATAGTGAAAGGCTGAGGATGGCATACAGCTCTTGGCTCTTTTTCTCAAGTTTATACTAGAATTATATCAGAAATATGCTATTCAAGCATTTAAAGAGGTTTTTCGGTAGATTTGATTTCGTATTATGGGGACAAGCAGTCATGAACAACAGAGTCTTCATCTTGCAGAAAAGAGTACTCAGGCTGATTTTCAATATCAACAAAAGAGACTCTTGTAAAGATATTTTCAGAACATATAATCTGCTAACATTAATATCCATCTATATATATAAATGCGCTCTCTTCGCATTTAAACATAGGACCAGTTTTATTCAAAATAACACAGTTAACAGGCACTACAACACCAGAATAGGTTTTGACTTAAGTATACCAGTCCACGCAACAGCCCAGTTTCAGAAATCACCACTCTATGCCTGTACAAAAATTTACAATAAACTACCAATTGAGTTCCGCAGAAGCACTAATATGTTGACATTAAAGAAACGTCTGAGAAGATATCTATCAGAAAAGTGTTACTACACCGTCGACGAATACCTAACTGCTTGATTTTATTTATTTATTCTTTTTATTTATTTATTAAGCTTAACGGAAAAGAAACAGTCTATTTATTGCTCCTCTTCTAGACATTTTAAGCGCTCAATTGTTTTTATTTATTTAAAATAAATTTTTTTTTTCATGTTCGTTAGATGTCATTGAGAATTTTTTTGTGTTTGTAATGACTCCTATTTTATTTATTTATTTTTTCATGTTCGTTAGATGTCATTGAGAATTTGTTTGTGTTTGTAATGACTACTATTTTATTGATTTATTTGTTTATTATTTATTATCTCAATTACCGTTTTAATTAACTACCTGTTCTTTTTTTTGCATATCGCATGCTTATGTATTGTATATGTAATGTTGACAAGTCTTATGTCATAGCTATTTATGACCAAAAGACAATAAAGACTAGACTATTAAAATCAGTAGACTAGGACAGGTAACACTGACACCAGACACCGTGAAAAGTATTTACCTGACGTCTTACACCTAGGAGTTTAATCGCGGCCTAATCGTGAACACTCGACTCATCAGCAGGATACAGATGGAACAACGAACAAAATTTAATCTAGTACTATACCAACCTCCGGTCTGGGCATTTCGACCATGCAATCCTCGCTGAGTTGGCCGAAGAAAAATGTGAAGAACTCGAACGCATCTTCATGCCACCCTTTTTCATACATTGGGTTCACGCGGCTGAGTTTATCCCTTATAAATTGGGGATAGTAGATTTTTGGATCATCCTCAGTACCCTCCCACAGCTTATCAAACACCTGTAGAAAGAAAAATAGACCTAAGTTTCTGATACTTGAATACGGCATAGTGCAAATTTATGAAAGTACTACGAGCCTCTTTCACAACGACGAGAAGTCAGCTATCTCTTATCGAAATGACAGAAAACTTTTTAAGGTTCTATCGATTTTAATTAGTTCAAAATTCTGTTGAACCTTGCTATAACAATTGCAGCACTTTGGTATTTAGGTTTTGCCTAGGAAAATCTTACCTCGCCCATCAATATATTGAATACCGGAGGTACTCTTCGATTCAGGGTTAAGTGCCTGTTTGTATCCACAAAGTACTCTTTTATGAACGGCAAGGTTTTCATACATTGTAAAATCGCGCTCATAAAACAGCAATTCTTGTAATTTCGGATTCCCGTGAAGCCTCGCCCCTTCACCTAAAATAAAATGAAAAAATGGAGATTATTGTATCGATAATACTCATATCAATGCATTTTCGAAGAAAATGCAAAACCCTATGCTGTAGTTTGACGTTAGCATACATCGTCACAGCCATGTAGGTCTTAGTCATTAGAAGTAGATGAAGGTAGGTAGAAGAAAGTTAATTGTAAAAATCTGAGGCTGAGTAAATTGAGTTCATAATTCTGGATTTTTTGTCGAATTAAATAAATAGTATTATGACGACAGAACAAAAGTGAATGAATATTGCAGTTACATGAGAGAGGCATTTAAATGTGATTTCGTATTATAACTGTTGTTGAGGCCTAAAATTAATGAAATTCCTTCTTTTACTGTTGTAAATCAAAAAGCAGTCATTTGTGATTTACTGCAATTATACTCTGCAAAAACAAATTTACTGCCTTTTTTCGTAGTTTCCATAATCTATTTTTATTATTCTCTCAAAGGAAATACGCAGTAATACAGAATCCTATTTTATTTTCTTATAATTTATTCATATTGAATTTCATATAAATAGCACCACCTTTTCAACATCAAATAATTCAATTAAAAAATTATGATTACCCATCGAACATTATGAAGCCAAAATAACGTCATTATTCGGTCACTTTTGGTCGGAAACGTAAATGACCCAAAAATGGCGTCTTTATTGACACCATTTTTTTATGGCAACAAGATGTCCTTTAAAAGTCATTTTGACGTATTTTTTATGACAGTCAATACTAAAAAATCAACACTTACCTATGAAGAATATATAGGCATTTAGTGTAAGGTAAACTAGATATCCAAATCCAATAACAACTTCATTGTTATTTATAAAAAGTATCAGGAATTCTTCGACCAACAATATCTTATTAATGTGACTTTTCCAATAATAATATTCCATGTTCAGATATTTCAAATTGACATCTTACATCATATTTTATTCCCGTAAATAACAAATTTATTAGAAACTTCTCTGTATAATAATAAACAAGTTTTACTAAAATATTTGCAATCAAGCACGGTCACATAGACGTCATATCGACCTCAGATAGACGTGATATCCACGACATATAGACGCCATATCGACCTTGTATTTGATCTTTTAAATGACATATAATGACGTCAATTGGGTGTGACATTAGACCGTCATAATGAAGTCATCTCTACGTCATTTTTGTTGGTCGGCGTACGTCAGTAGCGCCCTAAGAATGCCAGCATTATAACATCACTATGTTCACTCTGTAGATTTAATAATTTACATTCAGTAAAAATAATTGTATAAATAAACTAGCATCTAGCTGCATCATTTCAGATATGTTAAGTTAAATGAAGAATATTTTGCAAAACTATTCTTTCGGAGCGAAAGTAAGATAAATACTTATTCACAAATAATAGAATTATTGCATAAGAAACTAAATAAGTAAACATCATAATAGGTTGTAAAGGGTAAAAAGTATAAGTAAGTACCTGTATCATCAAAAAAGTATAGTTTGAAAACTACTGCTTTTTTGCTTTGATAAATTGATTTACTGCTGTTATGCTTAGGGAATGTAATTATTTTTTGCTTTGATAAATTGAATTACTGCTGTTTTGCTTAGGAAATATAATTATGAAATATCTTGTAAAGTAACTATTCCATTGTCAATGATATATTTTTTATTCTAATCAGTTTAAAAAAGGCAGTAAATGAACTTTACTATATTTTACCTAAGTATGGCAGTATTGTTGTAAGTTGTAAGGATAAATTGTTTAGCGCCGCTTTCATCTGAATTGGGCATCTTCTTGTGTAATATGTTCATCAATGTAAGTTCATATATAAAAACTTACGTCTTTTTCTGATTCTTTGACTTTAGCAGGTTTAAAACTCCTGTCAAAGGAAGGAGGTGGAGAGACATAGGTTGGCACAGCATTGTCCATCGGCTCTGGAGAATTATCTCTCCGTCTTTCAGGTGACCTTGAGTAGTCTTGGTTACCCTCATTCCATTGCTGTGGGAGATAAGTTGGTTTTGATGCGCGGGCTTTTAGCAACAGCAATTCTCTGTCACCTTCCATGAGCTTTCGGATTGCCTTCAGACAAAAAAAAACAAAATAAAGGATATTTTTCTAGAGATGAGCAAATTGTCCCGCCCTTGACCCATCTGCAGATACATTCGATGAACATTATTGAAAGTAAGGCATCCGTTATACTTCGCCATGACGGATACCGTACAGGACTGCCAGAGAATCAAAGCACATAATATTAAACCATATTCATATTATTTTAAGCGGCAATCGCGCTCTGATATTGTATAAGAGTTGAAATTGTTGTTCAACACTGGCTAATTTTGCGCGGTTAAAACGTAATCAGATACCCAAAAGAAGGTTTTAATTAACCCCAAATAAAGGTAAGACAAAACTTTAGCGCCTAAACATCGAAATGTTTCGTTCTTTCGAGAGAAATAGAAGAAGTCTTTAGAAATGGCCATCCTTTGAACACAATGCAACGATGAAAATATGCCCGGTGACATTAGAAGTGTGACACCCAGAAAAAAATAATTTCTTCAACTTGATGTTTGGCAATGAGGCAGTCTTACATCAAAAATGAAACAATAATATTCTCCCTAAATTTTATTGGCAAGTAATAAGAAGAAAAATTAATAACGTGTTGGGCGACCCTGCAGCTGAATACACTCGTATATACGTCTAGACATCGACAAAATGAGATGATCGATGTCTGGTTGTGGCACCTCATTCGATGCAACTCAAACTTCGTGCTTTAGCTGTGGCTGAGTCTATGGCGGATGGTGCAAAGTGGATAGTCTCCTCCCTGTCATATCCCACACATGTTCGATGGGATTTGAATCCGGTGAACGAGGTGGCCACGGCAAAATATTAACGCCTGCTTCTTGAAGCAAGTCCGTAGTACGACGAGCAATATGGGGACGTGCATTGTCTTGCTGAAAAAGGACGTGTGGACGGCCCTCTAGGTACGGCAGTAAAGTGGTTTCATCGGCTACAATAGGCAATAACCCCCCAAACATGTACTCCAACAGTCCTGTGTGCATGCCTCTTACCAATAAATCCAATATCACGCCGTTATCCCCGGTGGCGTCTTACCCTTCCCCGACCATCGTGTGTGCCTAGACAGAATGGTGATTCGTCGCTGAAGATGACATTTTGTTATTCCGCTTCGCAATGTTGCCGTTCACTGCTCCAGTTCAAACGTTGACGCCAGTGGTCCGCAGTCAGAGGAAGCACTAACCGTGGACGGTATGAAAAAAGTACAAAGGCTCGAAAGTGGCGATAAAGTGTACGCATAGTAACAGGTCTCCCTTCTTCTCCAAACCATTGGTCAGCGATCTGACGCGTAATACCAAAACGGTCTCGTAGGGCTAGCTATCCGAGGCGCATATCTTGACGCGCTATGGTACGCCTCGATGGACCAGTTGGCCTTCTTTGTGTTCCTCTACCTTCTTCTATTCACACACGACACACACGCATTACCGACATTGCAGTACAATTAACACGGCGGCCAATTTGGCGATAAGACAAACCAACATCTCGATAGGCAATAATTCTACTCCTGTCAAAGTCGCTAACATGGTGATAATTTGAACGTCTTTGAACTCGAGGCATTTTGTTATGCTTAATACTAGTAAATGAAAGGACAATAACTGAAAATACCTATACTACTCAGGTCTCAGAAGCTGCTTTCTTCGCAAAAACTAAGAGATAACATTTTAACAAAGGTACACAAAAGCTAAGATAAAACGTTGACATTATCACCACAGCATGTTTTAAATACGTTATGTTGCCAGAAAAACAAGTTAAAGAAATTATTTTTTCTGGGTGTAAGACTTCTAATGTCAGTGAGTAAACATACCGTAAGTGATGTTTTTTTAATTGGTAAGCTATATAGGTGTTGTGTTGTTTTTTCAATACGTTTCCTTGAAAATCCTTGGCAATTCCATTATTTTTCAATAAAATGAAAGTTCTAGCGTTTATGAGTATTGTTTGAAAAGTTTACAAATGTTCATTTCCTAACAGATATAACGAATAATGTGTATTATTGCCAAATTGTACGTCTTGTTGGGGAAAATGCTGAGATAACTAGATTATATCAGAATATTTACTGAAAATTAGATGAAATCCCGAACAGTAAGCCTAAACAAACGGCGCCGCGACTTCCATGGAGGAAAAGTATTCGCTGAAAATGAAGAAATTCCGAACTGTTACGGCTTGGTCTCACGGTCAACGAACGAAAGCTTAGCAACTATGTGTGCGATCTATCGAAATAGGGCAGGGCGAAGCGCCATCTACCACAAGAATCGATCACTGAGAATAATAGTGAATGGCAGCAATCGGTTGGGACTAGTGGCGTGTAGTTGTCGAGCGAATCGAAGCAGCTATCCATCCAAATACTAACCGCGCCAGAATCTGCTTAGCCCGAAATAACTGGTTGCCAGCCTGTATCAGTAGTTCAAACGCACCTTTAATCGCCGTTGTCGCTTAAAATGTCAGCGATGCCAGATATACCCCGAAATGATTAAACGTCTGATCCGGTTGGTAGACTGGTTTGCTTCATCATGACAAAGAATCTGTATTCACAATTAGTGGGGGTATCATTGAGCAGCAGTACTAACATTCTTTTGTAGCGGAAAATGTCAAAAATGAAGAAAATCAACATCTTAGTATCGGACAAAATTAATTATGACTTTTATGGAATGCAAAATATATTGAATTTTTGTAATTGAGCTAAAAGATTTATGTCATTAAGTAGTTTCAAATGATACTAAAATAAATTCATAAACGTTGTTTCCAAAGATTTATTAGACAAAATAAAAAAAATATAAAAAACTATATGCGAGAAAATTAGAAAGACTTATCCTTGAAATACATTTGTATCCTATATTAATGAAACTAAACTAATACTTCGTCCAGTACCCTTTGTTCTCAATTACTTTTTGATATATATTTGGCATCGACCCAATGAGATTGGAAATTACAGCTGGATCCATTGGTTTCCAAGCATTATCAATCTCTTTAAATAACTGAGCACGATTGCTGATAATTTTGGTTCGAATCTGTTTCTCAATTATCCCCCAAAGATTTTCAGTGGGGTTCAAGTCCGGTGATTGCAGTGGCCATTTTAAAACTTGAATTTTATTTGCCCCAAACCATTCCTTCACAAGTTTGGCAGTATGTTTGGGGTCATTATCATGTTGGAACGTAAACTTTAGCGGCATTTCCCATTCGGCGTAAGGCATCCATGGTGCCCTCAATTGTCAAGTCTTTTATTTGCTGGACGATCTACGAACTGCACTCCGTCACTTCCAAAAATATCAAACTTAGACTCGTGACTAAACAAAACCTTGTTCTAGTCCTTAGCTGTCCAGTGGCATTGACGTGCTGCAAACATCATCCTAGCAATCACATTTCTTTATAAATGGAGTTTTCTAGCTGGTCTCCTTCCAGGGAGCCCCGCCTCCACTAATTGCCGCTGAACAGTCTTAGATGAAACTCCCGGAACATCCAACTGAGCCAAAATTTGATTGGCAGATAGCCGCGGGTTCTTCTGACTTAAACGCTTAATTCTCGTAACCAACTGTATTCAAGTTTTTCTCTTCCGACTACCTCTCTGAAGGTTAACAACCAAAATTTTGTATTGTTCTTGCAACCATTTGTTTATTTACATGAAATTGCTCTTTTATTCATTTTTGTGATCTGATTTATAAGCTTCAAAAATGTTTTCTTTTAAATCTACGGAATAATGTTTTCGCCTATGCATTGTTAATAATTTTCTGTTGTTTCAATCCAACACTTGACCAACTACACTTTAGCGAAACTAAATATAAAACGAGTCGCTCTAATTTTGTCGCAGGTATTTCTTTATCAATACAAAAAAAAAACTAACATGAACATACCGTCAGGTACAAAAATAAACTGTTGATAATGAAATTCTTTTGGTAGCCGGTAATACAATGGTTAGCAAAATTTAATATCATTTTAAGTGTAGAAAACTGGAATGGACTAATAGCACAGTATCTCTTATTAAATAAACAGAAAACGTAAATACACCGAAATTTCACTATGATAGTAAACAAACTATCATTGTAGGAGAACATTTGGGGAAAAAAGAGACAGAACGGTTAAAGAAAGACCATTTTGCTGAACGGAGAACATCTGGCAATCCCGATGAAAGGTATGTATTATTCGTTAAAAATCTTGGGAACTGGTGAAAAAAAAAACAAAAGCGTATCTTAAGATTATTAAACGTCTAAATCTCATAGCTACTAAGTGACAATTTACATTGGGAATGTAAATTTGAAACGTCCATCTTAATAAAAAACTGAAAAACCAAAAAATTCAACAATTTTCCGGCACGGTTATACTAATCGCGCAGACGCTGCTTAACTCCGACAACTGTTAGCCTTACTGGTAAGGGCGGGCATCAGTGGCGAAGCGTCCATGTAACCATTGTTACAATTGGTAACAGTTAAAGATCTTAAAAATAAATATTTTATGACTAAGTGCTGTGAAATAATTTCATTTATTTGTTTACCAACAGCGATATGTAATAGTAATTCAGTAAATAGCAAATTAGCCCCACGAAAATAATGCGCCCTATAGTGTCTAGGTTTTGCGAATACGATGAAGCTGACTCGCCTCGACTTGGTTGTCGGTTGTTACCATTTTCATTTATGGATACACTTGGTAGTCCGTTGGGGACCGTCGGTACCGGCTCGTGTCTGATCGCGGTCGCCCGAGTGCGGGGGGCGTTGCGACTATTATGTGGGCTTGTTATCATTTTTTGATTTGGTTACTCACTACTCACTCGTTAGTAGCCGTTTTGGTTACTGGCTGTAGTGTGCGTGCAATTAAACATGGATGAGTGTCGCTGCGTAATCGATCAACTACTTGAAAAGTCATTCTCCATGTATAAATTTTAAGAAAAAAAAGGAGATCATTGAAGATGGAAGACCAACACCCATTTTAGATAATTTTAAAAAGGAATAAAAAAACCTAGTTTGATATTTTAAATTAAGTTGGTATATGGAAACTCTTGGTTATGTGGTTGCAAAAAAAACAGATTTTATTGTTGGCGATGTCATCTGTTTTATACAGAAAAAAATGAGTGGACCAGCAGCGGAGTCAACATTTAAATAATTTTAGGGCTCTAAAGAGGAGACATGAAATTTCTCCTTTACATGTGAGATGTGTAGCCAATTTAATTCAGTTTGGCAAAACAAGAATCGAAAGTTGTCTTAACCAAGCTTTTAGGCAGCACACTTCTAGATACCGCATGTTTTTTGGCAAAACAGGAATTACCGTTCATTTTGAAGGGGATGACTCTGACAATAGACAAAATTACAGCCAAAACAGATAAAAAAATCCGAACATCTAGAAACCTCGACTGTTTTTTCGGACGGCTTGGATTAGTCATAGCCTGAGGTATATCAAATGCCCCAGACACTCAGACCAGGAATGTTTACCTTAATTCAAAAATAGTTTAAATAAAATACCTAAGATAAGCAAAAACTTATATTTGGGAGGTTCAAAATAAACTTTTTTAATAAGATTTTTCACATCTGGTTTTTGGTAACAGTTTAGGAAAAGTCACGCGTCGCCACTGGCGGGCATTATTTCATTAAGCAATAATAAATGAATAAATTACCTCGCGTTCCTCAACCGACATATCTTGCGGCTTCATGAAGTCCGTCGAAGCTGCAGGGTTAATGTTTCCTTTGTTGTATTCCATTGGAATTCGATGCTCGGAAATGCTGGTATAAGGCCCACTAGATACACCTGGCTCCTTGGCAAAGTACGAATTTTTCGGCAATGCCCCTTCTGAACGTATATTACGCAATTTAAGCGCTACTTCATCGTCTTCATCTTCTGCGGGGAAGTCCCTGTCTACACGTTTTGCTATGTTGCCCATAGAATATGCCGAATCAACCATGAGGTTTCTATGACCTCCTCCTGAGGCTGCACCAGGATATTCCACTGAGTCTATATCCAACAAATCGTCGATCTCCGAGTTTTGCTTAGCGAACAAACAACCAGAATTCTCTACTTCTGAAGGATAACATTGAACGAACTCTTTTAAACCGCCATCTAGGATAAATGGGAGCTCCCGGTAGCTTCTGTTGAAGTCCCACTGCAAACAAAAAGTTAAATTAGAATTCTAGGATTTTTCAAACAAATTCACAATTTCACAATACTCAATGACGAAGAAAATAGAACACATTTAGGGTATCGTTAGATTTCGATAATGTGTTGGGCCAGGACCACCTAGATGTAGTATACACTAGCTCTTCTTCCGATCACCCGACACATGTTCAATTGGATCTAGGAGGCCAAGGAAAGAGGTAAATTTGTCCATTACGGAGGTAGACCACTGTAGTTATAGCAATATGAGGACGGCCATTATCTTGTTGCGAAACAGGATTTTCCAGTGTTTGAAGGGATAGCAAAAAATGGGATTCTAGTATTATCTGGATATACCGCCATAGTTCATCTAATTGAAGCTAAAAGTGACTTGACATGATGTTTAATGGCACCCAAAACTTTAACCTTAATATCGTTCTGCCTGCTTCTTTGATATACTAGATTTCGAGACCTTTCGTCCATTAAACATGTTGGGATATGATGGAAAGTAAAGTGACTTCTTGTATACCTCCAGAAGACGTAAATCACCTCATCAGAAGCATACAATATTGGGAATCCAGCAATATAGCAAAATGTTTCCGCTTCAAAATGTGATCACCGCTTTCTCAGAAAACTGGACATTTGCTCATGCCCAACCTATTCAAAAAAAGATCTAACGCCGACCATTCTAACTACATGCATGTAGCTTTGCTTTCTGTTATAAGGTGATGGAGAGGTACATAAATCGGGAGCTTCTGGAGTACCTCGAAAGTCTCGGCTTGATTAGCGACAGGCAGTATCGTTTCCGGCACCAGCGATCCACAGGGGACCTCCTAGCTTACGTCACGCAACTGTGGAGTAAACTCTATGGTGACAGAAAGATATCCGTAGTAATTGACGGGTTCTCCTCTTCATCCCAAAACTCAACGCGGGTGTTCCCCAGTGATCGGTCTTGGCTCCGACACTGTTCCTCTTACATATTTTGAACTATTACAAATTCTTCTCAGCTCAAGAGGGTGCATTTCAAATCTGACCAACGATTGGGAGAAACGTCATGTGATTTGAAAATCAAGTATTTAATAAATCTCCTCTGTACTTTCAATTTCACTAGTATAGATTTGGTAATACGGATGCCATGCGCTTGATGCATATTCCAGCTTAGAACGCGCCAAGCTACAGTATAAAGCCTTAGGTGCCGTCTCACTACCAAATGATTTACAGTTTCTTATAAAAAAAACGAGACTTTTCATAGCGGATGATACTATTGTATTAATATGATCTGTAAATTCTAATTTACCATCAGACAACACGCCTAGATCTCTCACTTCTAAACAACGCATCAAACTGACACCTTCTAGTGTGTAAGCAAAAGATTTTGGGTTCGTTTTCCTGGTAAAAGAACAGGTCCTGCACTTGCTAACATTCATCAGATCAGTTCTGCCAAAATGCCGTTCATTTCGGATGGTCAGAGTTCAGATCACAGAGGACTTGATCTGGCACGAACACATCTCGTTAATAGCGGCAATTGTTGAGAAAAAGCTAGACTATTTGTTTAGGGCTAATAAGTACTTTTCTCCTCAAGACCTCCTCACTATGTATAAGGCCCAGACAAGACCTAGCCTCGAGTACTGCTCACATCTTATGGGTGCTGCCGCCCCGACTGCATTCATTATCCATGCTTGACGCTATTCAGAGGAGGGATTTGCTCCCCAGAGCTCTCCTCCATGATGCCGCCGAGCGATGTGCCTGCCAGACAGACCCGCCTGACTACGGCCTCCCATCCTAACCGTATCGAGCTTCGTACATACTGAACTGACCGATACGACCGCTTCTTTGTCCCCAGGGTATCGAAATTGTGGAACAATCCACATGAGAAGAACTTTTCCCAGTTCTACTAACCTTAGGCAGTTCAAGAATCGGATTAACAAAGTTTCTTTAAGCTCATCATGGCATTTAGGCTTCTGCCTTAGCAGCTGCTTATTGTAAACAGACACCTCCCCTTTGCCCTGTCTAACTGTATACAAAATTTCATTCAATAAAATCATTTTTCCTGGCTGTTCTATTTTCTTTATCTCTGAGTATATAATAGTACACACAAAATAATCAAAATTAATGCTGCAGTTACTGAGATGAGAGAGTAACGAAAACATTAATGAAGATTAGATTCTTGCTCAGATACTCAGACCATTTAGTTTAGTTTAAAATAAACCGAAACGTCAAAGAAAATGTGAAATGTGATAATAATAATATTAATAATCTTTATTGGTTCTGTAGATCATTTATCATGAAATCATCAATGGTTAAGGTACTCTATCTTGAAAAGTATCAATAGCATTCCAAGAATAGATAGATAAAACCAAATCAATATACCATACATATGAAATATAGGACAGCCACACAAACAATGAGCAAAGAAATACATCACAATACCTATTAAAATAAGGATTGGCCAAGTTAAAAATATATCAATGAATAAATAAGTAAATAAAATACAAAAACCATAAATAATATGCTACAGTTGAAAATGTACTAGTATATATATATTTATATATATATACTAGTACTACATATATATAATAGTATACTTTACGTCTTAATCAAGCTTCAAGTTTATGTCTAAATAATGCCACTGGCAAGATTTTAAAAGTGTTTGGCAATTTATTGAACAGCCTAATACACATTTGATGTGGGCTGAATTCTGTTCTTGACAGCCTATTAGCAGGAATCTGCAGGACAAGCGAATTCCTAGTTGAGTACTTATTATGGTCGTTTAACTTTGGAAACATACCCAATTGACTGAAAACATTATTTTGAAGAAGATTATTTATTCATAATCACATCTACCTTCCAAGGTAAGATCACCCCCCAGCTTGTCTCGTAATTACGGATAGGATTTCGTATTCTCAGAATATGTTAATTGATGCTAAAACATACCTCAGTTATGAATATGCGTAGGCAGTGTAATTTCGACAATCCATAGGTAAACTTTGTTGTGTCATAATCCAAAATGACAATGCAGTCGAAGCTATCTCGGTTATCCCAGATTACACGGGTCACTGGTGGCAATTTAAGCCCTAGCGTATTTGCGGAAAGGCTGAAATTAAAATTTACCTAATTACAGAATGCTGAAAGATGCTTGCACACAATATGTGGAATTTTGGAGATCCGTTGAGTTTTCGCGAAATTTGTCATGCAATTTTTCACTTCTGATCTTCACTTACCCTGGTTGAATGAGTTCGGGTGGAATATTAATCATTCCTCCTGCCTTTTTCTTGATTCTAGTTTGATCGTATTCGTTAGTTTGTCGAACGTCTACAATTAACACGTTCATGTCGTCAAGGCGTTTGTAAAACTCCTCAGGTGTAAGGAACAATCCTAGAATATAAACTTTCTTATTACCAGAACACAATTAAACATTGTAAAGGACTGGTCTTGCGAATGCGCCCGTCATATTGCTATACCAGGTCTGTGAATTAAGTAATGAGACTTTTTCTCTTCCCAAAGTTGAAAAATCACTCAAGCGAAGTCATTTTGGGATACTCGAAAACACTCAAACGGCTGTAACCGACAGAATCCGGAATTTTGTGCGTTCAAATCGACGGTTGACAGTCAGAATGATCGGGGAAGAGTTAAAATGGACACAGACCACTATTCATAAGATCAAGAACAACTGGGTGTTGCAGCACGATAATGCTCCTAGTCACACAGCAATGTCAATAAGCGAGTATTTGGACATTAAAAACATTCGTGTTTCTCCTTAGCCTCGTTATTTGCCCGACTTGAGCCACATGTAACCATGAGTGAAATTTGTTTGAACGATGTACGTCCTTGTCAAATTCAGCGCAAAAACATCGGATGACAAAATTTCAGAGATGTTTCTAAAAACTAAAATAAAAACTTCCTGGTGATCTTCAATCTTAGCTTGGTGGTCAGATCAAGGCCTAAACGCTTTTTTGTATGATGCAATATATGTTTGATCCGAGAAACGGATAGAGTGAAAAAATTACTTTTAGACATGACCCTGGCCTGGGACATTTAAGGTCAAAATAATTTCCATCCAATGCCGCATCTAAACGACAAATGTCCCGTTATATTCCTTCCAGGTGTTGAAAGTATTGAAACCGTCGACTTTGATTTTACCATCAAGGTCATGCTCAAGATCAAACTCAATACCACCACTAAACGGCCAGGGAAACAATCCCAAACTGTACCACTTTACTTTTACCATACTCCTTGAATATGCCCAACTTGGGTATCTTCTGGTGAAATGTGTTATGTTTATTAAAATGTCTTTAAAATATTACCGCTTCCAGGCTTTTGCACTAGTGGAGCGCCTCTTGGTTCCTGGATATCTGAGGTCATATCATCTTCTGTCGGTTCAAAGTCTATAAATGGGTCAGGTTCGCCAGTCGGTTGAATATAGTCGCTATCCAGAACAATCGAAGACTGGTCTGAAAGCGTATTGCTGCTATGCGGAGCTCTCGAGCTGATAGAAAGTTTTTCTTGAAGCGAAGTTGTCAAGACCTCATACCTAAATGATATAATTCAATTAGAGTTTAAAAATAATTCTTAAGTCGAAAATTTTATTTTGGTTCTTGCCGACACTAAATTCACCAAAGCATATTCAATACTACACAGCAGTGTAACTTCTGATAATAAGAGGGGTTCGTGCATTGCATGCGTCATGTCTTGCAGCATGTGCTGAGCAGAAATATTCACTTTCAGGGAAATGCGAAACTGCACGGTATTAGATATGCTATGGTTTTACTACTCAACTTATACAAGGTGTCCCAGAATGTGGACAAGATCTTGAAATTAATTTAGAACATAAAAATTAGTCGGTCAAGTTCCTGTAAAAATATCCTAATATGAACCGCGCTGTATAAATTACCGGATTTTTGAGAATATCCTATCATGACCAATTATTATACAGGGTGTAGAAAAAATTAACGATATTGCTTAGGGTTAGTGCCTCCCTGACAATATAAAAAGTTAATTATTTTCTATGGACACATCATTTGAGGCTCTAATTGGTTACAAAACTGCCAAATTTGTGTTAATGATGTAAAGTTATTTGGAAAGTCAGTGGCATAGTTTTTAGGAGCCTAAACCTGCCTAAAGGAGACACCCTGTACATAAGTATAAGTTTACTGAGTACTGAGTTTACAGTGGCAGGTGAAAATACCATTTTGGTAATTCTCATTCAATAATAACAAGATTTATAGACAATTTTGCTCTTCTGTCAAGGTCTGAATTAACCTTGCTACATCATAAAAGTATGGATATGGAGGAAATGAGTATTTGACCTCAATTTTCAATATCATGTTAATATTGTTTTTTCATTAAATGACAAATTGAATAGTGTATGAAATTCCATGGTCAGATATGTCCTTGAATAATCTGACCTTCAACTGAGCTTGAAGGCTAAAGTTGAATTATAATAAGGTAAGGAATCCCTGTAACAAAATACTTTGTTTATCTCTAGTAACATTAGTTTTGGAACCCTGTTCTTTCAGGCGAGTATAGGCATCACCCTCAAGGGTTCAAGGTAATATCTCACAGAGGACAAATGCAAGATGTTTTACTTTCATGATCCATCATTACATTTTGAATGATCATGGCTTTATTTGAGATTCAAATGTGCAATATTCTGATCTATTCAACAGTGGGTCTGAATGTAGGTTGTCTTTTGGATGAATATAACTGACCTTGAAACTGAATGTAAAAGATGGCCCAATTATATCCGTTGATCTGAAATTTTATTTTGTAAACCCATCAACTATCCTGGATGTTTCATTACAGCGTAAGTTAAAACACTCATAAACTGGGCAAATTATGAAGGTTGTCCTTACTTGTCAGTGGGCTTATGGAATAATGCAGCTGTAGTGGAACTTTGAATGACACCCATTATACCAAATTCAGAAGAGGTTTACATGTGCAGATATATTGATAGGTTATGTAAACTCTATAAAGAGGTCTCATATTTCCAACTCTCAACTCACAGTTTTGACATCGCTTACTACAGTAATACCATACCTTTCCTCTAGTTCACTCCTGAGGTTATTCAAGAGTGTCTTTACAGTGTTATAGTCATTGAGAAACAAAGTGCGAATATATTTCGGATCGTCAGATACTTTAAATAGGTGATCCATCAGCAAAACATAGCGCTTAGCTAAAATGTAACATTTCTCTTGGTCCTCTCGACACAGCAACAGTTCCGCTTTCATCTTGGAAGCTAAATTTTTAAGCCTACGACAGATTTCATGAGTATTTCATTTGGGCATGTTTTTGATCCATACTCACTTATGAGACTTGTTGAGATATTTGAAAACATTGTCTTTTGTCGCCAAAGCGTCCAGAGCAGCAAGGCTGTCTGTTATATACAGCGGTATTACCTTTTTAACCATCATTTTGGATACAGAAACCTTACAAGTTATGAGCTCTTCATATCCATATATAACTTAAAAAGAATCTGTTGACAACTTCTCAGTTTCTATAAAATGATAGCGTTAATCTAAGAACTGTACGAATCATGTAATTACCCAGCTTACTTCTTGAAGAGAACCTACATTTAACTTAGAATTTGGGATATTAGAATAAATTCAGAATATATTTATGAGGGATTTTAAAGGTTTCTGTCAAATGTCAAATCACGCAAATTTTGACAACTGTCAATTGGAGATATCCCAAATATTCGCAGCAGGGTTGCCAAGCGTGGCGATTTGACGGCTTCAAATAGCGACTAAAATGGATAGCTTGGCGATTGGCTACTTTAGTGGCGTCCAGTATCCAGAAAATTGGCGATATCGTAAGATTTCTGACCGACGGAGGTTCAGTGCTCTAAGCACAATGGCGCTCATGGTCAAATGTCATGTCAAGATGTCGTGCTCCGAGCATATCAACTACAAAACATATACGGAAAAAACGCTTAAACCGGTCCCACACGATGTGGGGAATGCCTTACAGCGTTGTACACATGGCCATTCGCCATATTGTGTGGGAGAGCGCTGATGGATTTCATGTGTCCAATGTTCGCCACACAGCTCTTGTCGGTGAATTTGACCTGCATCAAAGGACGTTACAACGTTAGAAGCAAGGTTTGTTACGCTCCCACACGAGATGTCATGTGTTAGGTGGTTTTAGGTTAGAACCAGTAGCGGCGTTAGACATTATTTACTTGTTTGCTGTGATTGTGGTGAAGTAGTGGGATTGCGGGAAGCATTTTGATTTAAATACCTACCTATTCATAGTAATGTATGTTCCGTAACTAACTTTTGAGGAGAATGAATAAAATTAGCATACATACAAAGCATAGGCTGCCATGAAAACACTTTTTCCATCTTGCTAATAATGTACGTTTCGCAGGTGAGATATGGCAAATAAGGATACGTATTTTAGTGAATTATAAATTATTATCAAGTGCTTACAGTTGTTTCATTATAATGTCCTGTTGCAGTGCAAGACTAATTGAAACATATAATTACAGCAGACGCTCGATAATGTAAACTAATTTAATCCAAGTGTGGTTCACATTATCGAAATGTTTACATTAGCGAACGTGATTTATATAATATTTGATTTATTAAAAGAAATGTTTAATACATACTATTTATAACAAAATAAACAAATATTCTAACAGCGATATGTATTTTTTTAATTAGAAGAAAAATAATTAACAATTTTTGTCTGCGTAAATTTGCGCTTAGCATTGTCTTCCAAAGCCTGCGCCCGTAATTTACGAAGAACTAAAATATCCGTGTATGAAACTTCTTTTCTTTCAGCCCAATCTAAAGCTTGGTTAAAAACTTGTATAGCTTGCGCGTCAGTCACTACACTTCTGACTTCAATGGGATCGTTCTCATCATCCTCACTGTCCATATCCTCCTCCTTATCAGCATCATTCGTCTGCTTATCTTCGTTCCATAAATTAATATCAGCAGGAGTACAAACAATGTTGGGATTCACTGTTTTCAATAAATCAACAACATCCAATGACACACTAATAACATTATCATTATTGGATCGCAAACGTTCTCTAATTACGCTTAAGGGGACATCGTCTTCTTCATCATCTTCATTATTGGTACAAAAGAGATTGTTCCAACATTTTTGAATAGTTTGCTGGTTAGTTCATTCCAGGCCATATGTAAATCTAAAACAGCTTCTCGTAATGTTACTTTTTTTAAAGCCTCAGATAAGTTTTCAGGATTCTTTGATAAGACAGACGAAAGTAGAAACTTCCTATAGTATAGTTTGGTGAGTCTTATTATATTCTGGTCCATCGGTTGAATTAACGGTGTTACGTTGGGCGGCATGTACATGACGAAAATTGACCCATCCCTGCTCGTTGCTCGGGAGGATGACTTGGTGCATTATCCAATAGTAACGACGCTTTTATTGGAAGCTTCTGTTGTTTTAGGAAACCTTTTACCTACAAATTGAAAACACATCTTCAAATTATGAATAGAGCATTTGTGATAATTGATTGTCATACCTGAGGGACAAAGCACCTGTGGAACCATTTCAGGAATATACTGCTAGTCATCCAAGCGGTTTTTGAACAGTCATAATCAACAGGGATATTAACATTTTTAAATGAGCGCGGATTTTTTGCTTTCCCAATTACCAGTGGCTTTATTTTGTGTGAACCATTAGCATTAGTGCAGGCTAGAAACGTTATTCGTTGTTTCTCCGGCTTTCTTCCCAGGGCAGATTTTTCAAATGATGCAGCATAGGTTTTCTCTGGTAACATTTTCCAATAAAGGCCACTTTCATCTGCGTTTCTTTGAATGGTTGCACTAATTGTGGTTGTGCTGATAATTTTTCACCAGATATACACAGCTGTCGAATTCCATATCTTGTTTTGAATCGTTGTAGCCAGCCATCACTAGCTACGAAATTTTCAGTTTCTTTCAGTTTTTCATTTAACAGTCTCGCTCTCTGTTTAAGTACTTCGCCACTAACTGGGACATGATTTTCCCGTTGTTTTAAAAGCCACTTATACAGGGAATTTTCCATTTTAGGTGCCTTCGCATTTTTTAAAGTTTTTCTTTTTCCCGGACCTCCAAATGTATTGCACGTTCTTTGTAAAATTTGAGTTTTCATACGCTTAATTTTACAGATTTTTGCTTTCGATACTCCATATTTTTTTGCTAACTGTGTCACTCCCGCACCTAGTGCAACTTCGTCTATGATTTTCACTTTCTCACTCAAATTTAAACACTTTCTTTTATAGGATGTGGATGCCATAGTCGTAAAATATATTAACGCGTGCAATGTATTCACTTAAGTTCAAAAATGAAATACATACGTACGTATAAACGTATCCTATACGATCATACGACTGACCGAGTTTGTCGTATTTTATCGCAGAGGTGAATCCCCTACACTCTACATCATAAATCGGGGACTCCCCGACGCCCGACATAAATCATCGAGGCTTCAGCATTTTACCGTGCGCCGAGAGTTGTTTACGTTATCGAGCGTACACATTGTTTACGTTATCGCGCGTTCCGTTTGATCCCATAGAACGAAGTTTGTGTTTACATTAGCGCAAGTTTTCATTATCCCGTGTTTACGTTATCGAGCGTCTGCTGTACTTCCATTTCATAACTAACGAAAAAGTTTAAATGAATGATAACTCTGAAAGTACTATCAGGATTTTGATGAAATTTTGACCCTAGGTTACTACTATGAAAATTACGAGAAAGATCTGCAGTTTTTGAAAATCGGTACAGTGGCGGTGGAGCTATCGACGGCTATCGTCGAAAAACAAACAAAAAAACGGTCAAAGTTCGTTTTTCGACATTTTCGAGGCTTCTGACAGACTTAATTCAAACACCTCACAAGTATATGAGTCTGGGTTATTGCAAGAATGGTAAATAAAACAATATAATTATGAAAGTAACTTTATTCTGGTAGATAAGGTAATGTGGGTATTTGTATTATATGATCATACGGAAACTACCAAAAACCCATGATATCATTACTCAACAAAAAAAAACATGTCTGTATGTAAACATTTATTTGCAAAATGTAATCAATGGAAGTCAGGTGATAGTGGGCCGACACAGCTTTCAATGTCAGTTCGGCGTTAATTTATGGGCTGGAGAGTACTCAACAAAAAATTAATTGGACCATATGAATTGTCCGCCAGGTTGAATGGTCAGTCATATTGATTTTTTACAAATTGCATGAGCTGCTAGAGGATGAATATTTGGACGTTCGAAGCAGCATGTATTTTCATTGCGATGGCGCCCCATGCCACTTTGCACGGGATTACTTAGACAGTGCCTTTCCTGGTCGTTGGATAGGTGGAGGTGGACACATACGATGGCCTCCAAGGGCACCCGATTTAAATCCTGTAAATTTTTATATGGGGGTTTTATAACGGGATAATCTATAAATTTGAATATACAAATTAATGTCAACCAACTGCGCCAGAAAATTGATGAAGCAAAAATAAAAATTATGGAAAACGGAAATTAATTTCAAAAGCTAAAGGACAATTTCATTAGACGGTGTCGCTTATGTATAGAAAATAATGAAGGCCATTTCGAGCATGGTCTTCAAAAATTAGTTAAATCAAATTATCTTCCACATATGTCGGTAAATCGCCGCCATAAAGAGCAGCTAAACACAATAGGTTCTGTACTTGTAGGTGGTAAGGATTTTATTGCGTCTTTTAGGTTTATCGCATCACAACAACGAATGTGACATGATACACTCATCGTAGCAAGCTGAAATTTTCAAGGTTTATAGATTTTCACAAAAAAATGAATTTGCGTTGATTTCTAATAAGCTCTGTTAAAAAGTGACATAACCATTGCTAAAACTAACCATTTAGCTCATCTCAGAAAAAAATCACAGCCCTAAACCTAATGGTTTAGTTGTAATTGTGATTGAAAGTTCAATATCTCGTTTTTTTTTTTTGAAATTTCACAAAATTGCAAATATCTCCTGAACTATAAAATTTGGGACCACACATATTGGGGTCCATTCGATAGGTTTTAACAGACAGACTTAAGAATTGTCAGTCTGGTGTATTGGTTAATGATATCTTTGGGGACATCATGAACATTGCAAGACTGAACATTTTCAAGCAATTGGCTGGATACCTGGTGCCACTTAAGTAGTCAATCGCCAGCTATCCATTTTAGTCGCCATTTGAGGCCGTCAAATCGCCACTGCTCGAAACCGTAGATAGATGTTATCCTGATTTCTATCTGGAAATTAGCATGGCAGTGTAGAAATTATACCGTAAATATGAAATAAATTTCAAATATTGAAATCCTGTTCGAATTAGGATCCAAAGGTTTTCAGGTTGATGTGTGTTTTTCTAATTAGGAAAGCAACTGCTATTCATACGGGTCGTGAACCACACCCTCTTCAACACGAACGTGACCTTTAAACCACGCCCTATGTAACGCCCACTGACTATTAGAATTGTCACAATAATTCAGAAATTAAAAAATTTGAGTATTTCAACCTGTCACGAACTTACCATAATCGTTTCAATAAAAACGCATTTCAAAATAATGTAATGCCCATGTATAGCTGGAGCGGCCTCTCAATGTCAATGCTAGACAACCAGAGTTACGCGACCGGGTGTCAGCGCTTGCAGGCTTGACCGAGGATCTCAAGAATATTCGAGACTCACCTGGAGGCACATGCTGCCATGTAGACCACTTGCATGGAAGTTCGCGAAAGCGCTGGAATGTTTCTCGGCTCGTTGATAGGAAGATGGTTATAAATTGTCATAAATTAGTACA